TCCTTGACTCCAAGGAATAGCCTGGTTTCACCCTTTCCAGGATGAACCTGTTTGTTCTCCTAGTAGTCCATGGTATATTTAACACTCTTCTCCAGCACCACAGCTCAAATGCATCAATTCTCCTTCTATCATCTCTAGACATTGTCCAACTTTCCAATACATCTTAAATAATTGTAAAGACTATGCCTGAATGGTTGGCTACAATGCGGACTGAGAGTGGGGTGTAGCTCCCCGATTGAACAAGCATGGAAGGAGGAGTGGTGTCCACTTCCATAACAGCTTGCATCCGGAAACCCTATGAACTTGGAGAGAGGATGAAAGGCACCCAAGCGTCAAGGACTCTCCTTCATAGGGTCACTATGAGTCGCCTGCGACTCAACAGCACTTAACAACAACAACAACAACAACAACAACATGCCTGAATCAGGTGCATCTTAGTCTCCATCCTGACACTGTCACTGTTAAATATTCTGGAGCGGTCTCTGGGGGCAGACTTCCCAAAGCAATTAGTCTTTTTATTTCCTAGTTGCTGGTATCAAGAGTGTTTATTGTGGAACTAACCAAACTGAAGCTGTTTAACTATCTTAATCTCTTCACCATGTATCGTGATGCTGCCAATTGTCCTAGTGGTGAGAATCTTGGTTTTCTTGATGTTGAACTTCAATCCATATTTAAAGCTTCAGCCCTTTACCTTCTGCAGCAAATGCTTCAGGCCCTCCTCATTTTTGGCAAGCACGGTTGTCGTCATCTGCGTTAACGCAGGTTGTTGATAAGTCTCTCTCCAATTCTGATGCCACATTCCTTCTCATAGAACTCAGCCTCCTTGACGCTCTATTCTGCATATAGATTGAAAACGTACGGAAATAGAACACATCCTTGGTATACACCCTTCTCCAATAAAGTGCAAAGTCCAAAGAAAGTCTACAGATCAGGAGAGCATTTGGTAATGACATCTGAAAGGAATTCATACCTAAAACTCATAGAACACTCTAGTATCTCAACAAGAAAAAAAAGACAATCCAACTATAAAATGGGCAGAAGATATGAAAAGATTCTTCACCAAAGAGGACATTTAGAGGGACAGCAAATTCTCCTGAGATTCACAGCAACCCAATGTACAACAGCTATGAACTTTGCCCTATTCTGAGCCATTCTCACTGCCTCTGACACCTATTCTCTTTGCCCCAGTTACTATATCCATCCATATCATCCAGGGTCTTTCTATTCTGCACTGTGCCTCCACCTTTCCAAGAATGATATCCTTCTCTAGGGACTGGTCTCTTCTAGCCACATGCCCAAAATATGTGAGACAGAGCTTCAAAATCCTTGCCTCTAAGTAACAGCCTAGTTTCATCTTCTCCAGGATAAAATTGTTTTCTTGGCAGTCCACGGTATTTTCAATACTCTTCTCCAGCACCACTACTCAAAGGCATCAATAATTCTTCTACTCTCTTTGATCACTGTCTAGCTCTCTGATGCACAACTACGAAGACCATGGCCTGAATCAGGAATAGCTTAGTCTACAGACTAACACTGTTGCTCTACAGCACTTTCGAGTGGTCTTTAATAGCAGCTTTCACTAGGCCAATTTGTCTTTTGATTTCTTGACTGCTAGTGCAAAGAGTGTTGATTGCGGACCTGAGAAAGCGGAAATTGTTAACAACCTCAATCTCTTATTCATCTATCATGGTGCTACCAACTGGCTCAGTGGTGAGAATCTTTGTCTTAATGTTGAGATGATAGATAGATAGATAGATAGACAGACAGACAGAGAGACAGGCAGATATAAATCCCAAAAATGAGTTATCTTTTCACTCTAGCATCAATACCAATGTTCAGCAGGACAGCAAGCAACAAATACTAGAGAGGATGTGGACAGATTGGATGGAAATGTAAAATGGTAGAATTATGATGGAAGGCAGTCTGGCATTTCCTCAGAAAGTGGAAAATAGAAATACCATTTAATCCAGCTATTCCACTATTGGGAATATATGCTAATAATTCAGAGCTAAGACATGAATAGATTTATGCATACTTATGCTTACTGCAGCATTATTCACAATAGTGTTATTTTAGTTTAAAAGTTGACTTTCTTAGTCATTATGTTAGCCCTCACTTATCTCCAGATACATTAACTATGGTACATGGTTTTGAAAATCATCAACAGCTGTGGGACTGGTATACGAGAAAAAGTGCTCTCCACACTATAGAGCAAGGTCCTGAGGATGGTCATGGAGAGAGGAGAGGCTGTGGCACTGGTGTAAAGAGATTAGCAGGTTGTAAACAGAGAAAACTTGAGATAAAGCCCAGAGTTAAGGGTTTTGCTTGCTGGATCACTGTCAAAGATTGAAGAAAAAGCTGACTTATAACTAAGGAAACCAGAGGTTTCTTGCTGCTAAAATGAATCTAGACTTTTACTAACTGATCTTATTGATCTAGTTTAGGACTTCTGGGCTAAACCTGGACTTGCATATTTTTTGTCATGTCTGCTCCCCAGTCTTTTTCCTTAATAATTCTCATTCTCACATCTAAAATCCTAGTCAATGAAATCTAACATAGTATTTTAAAAAATCATATATCATGATGAAGTGTGATTCATACCAGATATCTGAGGAAGGTTCAACATAAGAAAAACAACTGGTTACAGTGACAGGTACACAGACCAATGGATAGAACTGAGAACCGAGAAACAATTTCATCAACGTTTGGACAACTGATCTTTGACAAAGAGATGAATCTACTAACTGGGAAAAAACAGCTTCCTTAACAAAAAGTGTTGGCAAAATTGGGTATCTTATTTGTAGAAAACTGAAACAAGAACCATACCACATACCCAAAACTAAGGATGCACTAAGGACCTAAAACAAAATGTAAAACTAAAGATGAACAAACATTTTTGCTCTCAATAAAACGGCATAAAAAAAATGAACAAAAAACCCCTAAGTGCAAATTTAGGTGTCTTACTTTATGGCATAAAGATTCTATCAAATATAAATGAAAAGAAATGAATATGAATTAAAAGAAATGCACTACTGGCTGAAGTTAAATGTGAGTACTAAGATCTCCTAAGAATTAGATCCATGTGTTTATCAAAAGACTTCTTCAAGAAAGTGAAAAAAGGGAATCTAAACATTGGGAAAAAATATTTGTCAATGGCCTATCTGGCAAAGGACACATTTCTAAAATTTACCAAAAAGATATCAGTATCCCAAAAAGATAAAAACAATAACCAAAAAAAGAGAAACAACCCCAATTTAGAGGAACTCTAAACCTAAAGGAATAAATTTTTCCCTTTAGGTTTTCTTCCACAATAAAACAAATTTTTTCCTCGAGGGTTTTCTCCACAAATTATTCCTCACAATAAAAAAAAAAAATTAAAAAGGAAAAGAGGGGAAAAGAGAATTTAATTTAGCAGATGAATCTTTGGAGAAAGATTGTAGAAGGTCAGCAGTAAAAGGGAAATGATGACCTTCCAGAAGGAGGACTGACGCAGGGGTTCCACAATGGGTTCAAGTACACCAGTAACAGTAAGGATGATAAAGGACGAGGCAGTAATTCATTCTCCTGTAGGCACGGTCACAACTGTCGGAACTGACTCCAGTGCATCTAAAACTACAACAGTAGTAAACAAGTATTGTTGTTGTTGTTATGTGCCGTCAAGTTGCCTGTGACTCATAGCGACCCTATGTACAAAAGCCCTAAACCCTGCTCTATCCTGTGCCAATCTGTCTCCAATACACCTATCCCCGTTACCCCAGTCACTGAATCAATCTACCTCATAGAGGGTCTTCCCCTCTTGCGCTGCCTCTCCACCCTCCTAAGCATGATGTCCCTCTCCAAGGACCAGTCCCTCCTTGCAACATGTCCAAAGTATGTTAGACAAAGCTTCAGAACCCTTGCTTCCAAGGAGCAGCCTGGTTTAATCAAGTATATGAGAGATTTATTTTTTACATAATGTGAATTTATTAAATAATTAGTTATTAATAAAGAGAGGGAGAAAAGGAAGAAGGGGTAGGTTTTAGAGAAAATATTGAAGAATCTCTTGCAAATAACATTTTATACTCATAGGTGAGAGGAAAGAACATAGCCACTTTCATGAAGGAATGAGGAAGAAGAGTTGCGGGCTTGCAATGGTACTTCAACATAGTTAAGGGAGCTCTGGTGGTTTAGTGGTAAGGAATTGTGCTGCCAAACCAAAGGTATATGGTTCAAATTCAGCAGAAGCTACATGGAAGAAAGATGAGTAGTCTCCTCTCTTGCAATTAACTGCCTCTGAAAATCCGATAATGGGTCAGACTTGACAGTACACAATAACAACAAAGTTAGGCTAAAACCTGTATATCATAAAGGAGATAGTAGAGACAACTGAAGGGTACTTTTTTCTTTTTCTTTTTTTTTTTATTCTTCTGTGCAACAACTGAAGGTTTTATGCTTTGTTCTGAACTTTACCTTCAGTTAAGTACAAGACTTTCAAAATGGCAAATCCTTTTACTTTTAGTCTTAGTTATTCAGAAATTCCTAATGTAAAGTCCTTAATATTCAGACAAATTGTCTTATTGAAGAGCCTCATCCACGACATCTCATATATTGATAACAATATGCTGGTTCTTATTGTACATCAACTTTTTTTTTTACTTAGCAAAACAAGTGAAAAAGGTTTATTATGGTAATAAGATAGCGAAAGGTAGGCCAGGCAAAAGTGTTAAAGGGAAAAAGAAAGAAGAGGGAAAGGGGTAAAGGACCCCTGTAAAGACAGGTGTTAACCCAAACCTTATCGCAAGCTGTCAGCAGAATACGAGAAAAAGAGCTTGTACATCATTTTTTAAAATACATATTGGATATATGTTTCTATCCATTTACCTATATATCTTTTAAAGCTGCTAATCAAGATAAATAACTCAAGTTGAGTTTCTTTATTCTTAATTCTCTTTGGGCTATGTTGGATAATCTGGCATTATAAGACAGATAAATAATTATTACAAAGAAATTAAACTACTCACTTGTCTCTAAGAACAACTCCTTCAATACATGCACCAAAAAGCACAACATTGCTTAAATCTACCATGTTCAGAGTTAAGGAAATAGGTATTAATCTTCTAAAATGGGATAGAAAATAGATATTTATTGGTCTACTACTAAAATGGGTTGCTAAATTTACTAATCTAATAAATGAGTTATTTTGGGAATGAGATGGGCAAATTATTTAGAGAAAGGTGAGGTAGTAAAAAGAACCTATCCTAATTAGCATGGTAAAAATACGGATTACCCTAGTTCTGCTGGATGTTCCTATGATGAAGACTTAGACTGCATTTGTTAAAAGGATACAGACAAACGAAGTGGTCAGGATGGCAAGGATAGTGCCAATGGGAATAGATTTCTGAGCATCTTTCAGATCTCCAGACCGGTTTGATCCAGCCATGATACCTTTTATGAGAGAAAATAAACAAGTTAACTCCTTGAATTCAGAGACACTGATTTGTATACTGATACCAAAGATTAGAAGCAAATCTAGGAATACTAAGAATATAGTGTTTGCTGGGAAAAGTCACTATGACGGTCTGATAGCTCCTAGAACAAACAACAGTGCATCTGCTTACCTGTAACAGAGGGAAAGAAGATCCCCACCAGAAGCGTAAAGGAGGTGGTGATGTCAACAAGAACATACTCGTGATTTAAGCTCCCTAAGACATCTGAAGATTTGGCCGAGGGCTTTTCAATGATTTCTCCCTTTGGTAGATAATTACTCCAAAGGTTCTCTGCAATAGAGAGGGGGGGGGAATGGAGAGAGGGTATATGGGATAAAAGCAACTGCAGTAGAAAGAAAATTAACTCAACAATTCTGCACCTCCATTCTAAGTTCTCATTTACATAGTTTTTACAAAAAGATTTGCTTCTCTATGAGCATAAATACAAACAAATAAAACTACACAGTAAAGTACACATAAGCAAAAACTTAAGTGCCCTTGTTTTAAACTTCACAATAAAACTAGTAAGAAGTTAGCACTGAGTTAAGAAAACTGAAGCTGACTTTTCGGAAAAACCTAAAAGTAGTCATCAATGATGTATTTAACAACTCAGAGTGAACTTGCAAAGACATATGTGGTCTAAACATTTATGACAAAAGTCTCCTAAGGTAAGAGTTTCATAAATTTAGCTAAGTTAGGAACATACATAAGTAGATGTAGACCATTGAAATGGTTCCAACAGGGTAAATTTAGAAGATACAGACTATCTTTTAAATGTCTAAAAAGTGAAAAAGTTATTTTCTCAGGTCTTCCCTCTAAAGGAGGCAAATTCTAGTAGCGAGCAGTGTTCAAAGTTTAAAGTATACAAGGTTTAATTTGTGCAAAAAGTATAAATTCACTGATATTAAAGTAAAACTATACTGAATAAGAACAGCATTTTGCGCTTACATGGAAAATGACACTCTGAATATTCTTATGGATAATAGAAAAAGCCAAGAGGGTAAAAGTTATTTTCCTAAAATAATAATTTAAAATTACAAATAACTCTCTAAATTACCTGTAATGATACCACTAGCCAATCCAGGAATGCCCTGAATTGAAGTGACATTATTGTGAACAAAGTATTCATCACAGGTGGCATTGAAAAACTGGCTTGAGTTACAAAACAAGCCCCACAACTTTGATGGGACTGTCATGTTGTTCATTTCCTTGGTCTTAGAGCAAACATCAAAATGTCTTGATGAAAGAGTACGGTTACCCAGCATACAGACCCTAAATGAAAAGAGAGACAACTCTTGAGCAAGAGAAAGAACATTTAAACAAGAACATTAAAAAAGATTAGTAAGTGAAAACAAAAAAATATTAAGAGCTTCTCTTAACGTAAGTGTGAAAGGAACTAATGTTTATATATTAACCAACTTAATCCTTGCAGAAATCTTCCAAAATATGTGTTACTATTGCCCATCTTTCTCCCAATTTATATTTTTAGGTAAATAAAAACAATTTTAAGGTAGTAATCTGTCATAGATAGAGGTGATAGATAGCAGGGATAGAACTCAACGAAAAAGACACTGTAGTATACTACACTGACTCATCTTCCAAAATTTCTAGGCTAACAATTGTTGGACTTAATATATTCAAGTCTCTCTCTCTCTCTCTCAAATTCAGCAACTGCTCTGTGGTGGAAGGATGGGCAATCTCCTCCCATCCATTGCTTCTGAAAACCTGCCTGAGGGTCTGCTTATGGATCGATTCCGAATTGACAGCACACAAAAGCAAGGATATAAAAAAAAACCCCAAAACTCCCTTTTTTCTTTGCCTAGGAAAAGCACTCCTTTCAATACCACCATTTCCCATTGAGGAACAAAGGTACAATGTACCCACAATTTAAATACTACTTCCCAAGGGTAACGAAGCTTTTCCCCCCAATTTTCAAAATAACAGCAACAGTTATACATACATCCCCCCCACCTCCAGAGAGAGCAGTAAGAATCATCAAAGGAAAATCAAATGCAGGATTGCATTTCCCTAGTTAAAATATAGTAAAAATGGAACTCTTGCATTTTTATGAATGTGAAAAAGATCTCTTAACTAGTTTACCATACTAATATGCAAACCAGAGGGAGCTCTGGTGTTCTAGTGATAAGGAGTTGTGCTGGCAACCCAAAGGCACAGACTCTGAATCCACTAGCCGCTCCATGGGAGAAAGACAGGCAATCTCCTCATGTGTGATTTACTGCCTTTGAAAATCTGATGGAGGGTCAGCTATGAGTTAGGTGTGACTTGATAGCACACAACAAACAAACCACAAATTAATAATAGAATCTATCATCACAAAGAAAAGTGCAGGAGAAACACAAGACTGGATTGAGAATCGGGAAATTACAGGGCTCAGGTTCTTACTTTGCCATTAAGTAACTGTGAATAAAGTTATTTAAAAATAGGGATCTGGGTGCTTTTAATCCTAAAAAATATGTTTTTATATCGTCTGGTTAAAAGAACACAGGATTAATGAATTTAATCCCTGAACCAACTAAGTGATTTTCGAAATCACGCTCTATAAGCAAAGCAGAAGTGTGCAAGTCAAGTTGCTGTTATTATGTGCCACTGACTTGACAACAACTCATTGCGACCCTATGAATAATGGCTATGAACCTTGCCCTATCCTGAGCCAATTTTTCCCCATCTCTTGATACACATGCCCCCATTGCCATTGTCACTGTTTCTTTCCTTTTCACCCAGAGTCTTCCTCTCTTGCTGTCCCTCTGCCCTTCCAAGTACGATGCCTTTCTCCAAGAATTGATCTCTACTGGAAACATGTCCAAAGTATGTGAGATAGAGATTTAAAATCCTTGCCTCCAAGGGGCAACCTGGCTTCATCCTCCTGAGGAAAGATCTGTTCATTCTCTTGGCCAACCATAATACATTCAATACTTTTCTTCTCCAGCACAATTTAAAGTCATCGATTCTTATGTCATCCTTAGTCACTGATTACTCCCAGATGCATAGCAAGCAACTGAGAAGACCAGGACTGGATCAGGTGCACCTTAGCCTCCAGAGTGTCATCATTACTCTTTAACACTCTAGAGAGATCCTTGACAGCAGTTTTTCCCAAAGCAACTAGCCTTTTGATTTCCTGACTGCTGCTTCCAAGAATGTTGACTCTGCATCTGAGCAAGATGAAATTGGTAACAATTTCAAATTTCCCTCCACCTATCTTGAAACTCTCAACCAGCCTGGTATTGAAGACCCTCGTTTGATGTTGAGATACAATCTATATAGAAGGCTTCAGTCCTTATCCTACTGTAACAAACACTTCAAGTCCTCGTCAGTTTCAGTGAACAAGACTATGTCAGCTGCATAACTCAGGTTGTTGATTAGTCTTCTGCCAATCCTGATACTACACTCTTCTTCATAAAGTCCAATCTTCTGGATGATCTGTTCTGCATATTGACCAAAAAGGTGTAGAGACAGGATGCACCCCTGATGCACTCCTTTCCTGATTTTGAACCATATAGTATTCCCTTGTGTTGTTTGGATAACAGATGCCTGGTCTAGGTATAGGTTTCACAAGAGCACAATCAAGTGTTCTGGAATTCCTATTCTTCTCAATGTTAGCCACAATTTGTTGTGATCCAAATGCCTGTGCATAGCCAATAAAACTAAAAAAAAAAAAAAAGACACCCTACTGGTACATTGCTTTCAGTCAGGACCATCTGACATCAGAAATGGCATCCCTAGTTCCATGGCCTTCTCTAAATCTGGTTTGTATTTCTGGCAGTTTTCTGCCAAAGTACTGTTTTATCCATTGTTTGGATAATCTTCAGGAAGATTTTTCTTGCATATTATATTGGTGATTGTTGTTGTTATGTGCTATCAAGTTGCCTGTGACTCATAGCGACCCTATGTACAAAAGCCCTGAAACCTGCTCTACCCTTTGCCAACTCTACTGTCTCTGACACACCTACCCTCATTACTCCAATCACTGACTCAGTCCATTTTATAAACGGTCTTCCTCTCTTTCTCTGTCCCTCTGCCCTTCCAAGCATGATATTCCTCTCCAAGGACTGGTCCTTTCTTGCAACATGCCCAAAATATGAAGACGAAGCTTCGAACCTTTGCCTTCAGGGAGCAGCCTGATTTCACGCTCTCTAGGATGAACCTGTTTGTTCTCCTGGCAGTTCATACTATATTCAATACTCTACTCCAACACCAAATTGATGCAAAGGCATCAATTCTATCATCCCTAGTCATTGTCCAGCTCTCTGGTGCACAGTAAGCAATTCTGATGGATGACCTTTTTTTGGGAATGGGATTAAATATGGATCTCTTCCAGTCAGATGGACAGATAGCTGTCCTCAAGATTTCTCTGCCCATCCCCCCATTTTTGTCTTTTTAAAAAATTCATTGTTGCACATTTTCTTCCTCCAACCCCCCATGCCACCCTGCAATGCACATCTTCTTCCAGACTATTGTCATACATATAAAGGCTAATCATATATTCCTTTTGGATTGTTCTTCCTCTCATGTTTTAATGCAGTGTTTATTATCTATCCACTCTTTTCCAATTCTCTCTCCAACTTCTCCTAACCCTGTCTGTCCTTTTTTTTTTTTTAAAGTATTTATTTTATATTGGTTTACTTACAAAGTTTATCTGTCCTATTTTATAATAGTGGTATTATGCAACATTTCTTTCTGTGATAGATACTTCACTCAGCATAATGTCCTACAGGCTTTTCCATGTTGTGTAATATTCTACAAGTTTTTTTAATGCTGCATAATATGCCATTGTGTGAATGTACCAGTTTTCCTATCCATGTTTGTTGATGGCACTTGGGCTGCTTCTATCTCTTTACTATTGTGAATAATGCAGCAATAAACATGGGTGTGCATACATATGTTTGTGTGTGGCTCTCGTTACTGTAGGGTATATTCCAAGTAGTGGAATTGCTGGGTCAGATGGTATTTGTATTTCCAGTTTTTTGAGAAAGCACCAGACCTCCTTCCATAGTGGCTGTGCTATTTTACATTGCCAATAGCAGTGAATAAGAGTTCCAACCTCTCCACAACCTCGTCAACACTTGTTGTTTATTGCCCTGTTGAATTTTGTCATTGTTGCTGGGGTGAGTTATCTCATAGTTGTTTTGGCTTATAGATTTCTTTGGTCCAACCTGGTGAACATCTCCACGACCTCATCTTGCTGAAATGTCTACTGGTACTCCATCAGTTCCTGGAGCCTTATATTTTTGCTAATTTCTTCAGAGAAGCTTGAACTTCATCTTTTATTATCATTGATTCTTGATCGTATGCTACTTTCAGAAATTTCTGTGTTAGCCAGTTTTTTGTTACTACAGTGACTCTGTATAGTAACAAAGAGTCACTGTAGTAACAAAAAAAAAGAGGCAGTAGTCAGAACAGAGCAGGGCAACACTGCATGGTTCAAAATTGGGAAGGGTATACGCCAGGGATGCATCCTGTCTCCATACCTTTTCAGCCTATATGCGAGCAGATTATCTGAGAGGCAGGGCTCTATGAGGAGAAGCGTGGCATTAAGATTGGTGGACGATGTATCAACAATCTGCGTTATGCAGATGACACAATCCCGCTCGCTGAAACTGAGGAGGACCTCATGCACTTACTGCAGAGGGTCAAGGACTGCAGCCTTCAATATGGACTGAGGCTCAATGTCAAGAAGACAAAGATTCTCACCACTGGACCAGTTGGTGGCATCAGGATGGATGGTGAAGAGACTGAGATTGTTCACAGCTTCAGTTTGCTCGGCTCCACGGTCAACACTCTTGGCACCAGTAGCAAGGAAATCAAAAGATGTATTGTGATAGCAAAGTCTGTGCTTAGGGACCTCTCTAAAGTACTCAAGAGCAATGGTGTCTCTCTGGAGACTAAGGTGCGCCTGATACAGGCCATGGTTTTTGCAATCACTTGTTATGCATCGTAGAGTTGGACAATGACTAGGGAGGACAGAAGGAGAATTGACGCCTTTTGAGCTGTGGTGCTGGAGAAGAGTACTGAATGTACCATGGACTGCCAAGAAAACAAATAGATTCATCCTAGAGAGGGTTAAACCAGGCTGCTCCTTGGAGGCAAGGATTCTGGGGCTTCGCCTGACATACTTCGGACATGTTGTAAGGAGAGACAGGTCTTTGGAGAGGGACATCATGCTGGGCAGGGTGGAGGGACAGCGCAGGAGGGGAAGACCCTCTATGAGGTGGACTGATTCAGTGACTGGGGTAATCAGGATGGATGTGTCAGAGGCAGTGAGATTGGCACAGGATAGAGCAGGGTTTAGGGCTGTTGTACATAGGGTCGCTATGAGTCGCAAGCGACTCAATGGCACACAACAACAACAACAACAACGACTCTGTGTATTCCTTCCCTCTTTGATGATTCCTGAATCATTCAGTATTTTCCCCAAGCATCTTTAAATATTGTAACCTGAGGCTTGAATTTGTTCTTCAGTTCCTTCAAATTGAGGATTGCTAAGTTCTCTCTTGATTTTCTGACTTTAGCTCTTTGCACATTCATTATATTATTTTCCTTTTTCTTTCCAAGGTGCCCTTTGAAGTCTTCATCTTTTTTTTTTGCTTTTCTTCCCTTTGTTTTGGCTTTTTTTGCAGCTCTAGTGCAGCATTCAGAGTCTCTACTGACATCCATCTTGGGTTCTTTCCTTCCTGTCTTTGTAATAACCTTCTGCTTTCTTCATGAATGATATTCTTGATATCATCCCATAGCACTTCTGGTCTTCATTCATTAGTGCTCAAGGCCTCAAACCTGTTCTTGAGATGGTTTTTAAATTCAGGTGGGGATAGACTTAAGGTCATATTTTGATTCTTGTGGAATTAATTTTCTTTAGTATCAACTTGAACTTCCACATGAGCAGCTGATGGTCCGTTCCACAGTCAGCACCTAGTCTGGTTTTCACAGCTTTTCCAATTATTCTTTCCACTAATGTAATCCATCTGATTCCTACATAGTCCATCAGGTTAGGTCCATGTATATAATCACTGTTTGTATTTTTTATAAAAGGTATTTGTGATGAATAAATCACAGACAGTACAAAATTCTATCATTCTTTCTCCAGCCTCATTTCTGTCACCAAGCTCATATTTTCTGATCACTGGTCCTCTTCCTTATTATCAACTGTTGCATACTAGTTGCATAATGAATCTTGGTTGCATGTTCAATCAATTTCAGAGTGCAAAAATTGGTAGAAATCTCCTATTTCCTCTTTGTTTCTAGTTGTTGGTGCATATATTTGAATGATAGTGGTATTAACAGGTCTTCTCTGTATGCATATGGATAGTATCCTGTCACTCACAACAACATACTTCAGGACAGATCTAAAAGTGATATTGTTGACTATGAGTGAGACCTCATTTTATCTCACTTTTCACTTCTGGTGTAGTAGATCATATAATCATCTGATTCAAAGTGGCCCATGCCAATCCATCTCAGCTCCCCAATGTCTACTATGTCAATATTTATGCATTTCCTTTCCTTTTTTTCAAATGTCCAATTTTCCTACATTCATACTTCCTACCTTCCACACTCCAATTATTAGTGGCTTTCCAGCAATTTACAGAAACATACTATGGTATATAATATTATTTACAGAGAAAAGAAATTTGTAAATGTATGAAATTTCTTTCCCTTTATGACTATGTTGTTGTTGTGTTCCATCAAGTTGGAACCAACCCACAGCTGACCCTCCAGCATGTTTTCAGAGGCAGTTAACTGCACAGGAGGAGACTACTCATCCTTCTCCTGCAGAGGTGCTGTGCATTTGAACCACATGCTTTCAGGACTGTAGTGCAGCTTCTTGCCACTAGGCCAAAATAAAAAAAAAATTACTAATATTCAGGTAGTAGGTTAAGCTTCCTCCATTTATCAAAGGAATTCAACATCAAAAAGAGTACTGAGGTTACTTATGTACAACAAAACCTCATAGAATCTGGTCACTTGATTTGGAGGTTTAAGGCCATAGGTTCATGGGCCATGTCAGTTAACTGACTTAATAACATGCTTAATGTTTTTACTCTACTTCTCAGTTCATACAGTAGTATAGTGCCTGAGGTCTTTAAAGCTTGCAAATGTTCATCCAAGGCTCAACAATTTGTCTCTGTTCACTTGGAACAACAGAAGATAGAAGAGAGCCTAGGAGGAGAGAATGGTGTGTGTAGCTGCCTCCATGAGCAAGTGCCTCTTTTGCCATGAGACCAGAACTGAACACGTTCCAGCCACCACTAATCATTTTGATCAAAGATTCTACAGAAAGGGGAAAATTCCCTCAAACTGTAGTCAATGTCAGGAAATATAGTGTGTGAACTATTGACTATAAAGCCAATTTTCTCTGAAACTTTCACTCAAATCACAATTAAAAATAATAAAAAATGTTAAAAATATGCTGAGATAACCTTTAAATCTTAAATCAAACTATTCCCTTAAGTCTTCTTAAAACCAAACAAAGAGTGTTGGTTAACTAGTTTAAATAGCTAACTAGCTTAATTATGTCTGCCTTAAGAATTGTGCTCTTTGAACATCTATCCATCTGTATCAACATGACAACAACTAATCAAAAGATTAGCTAAAAACTTAGAAAACTATTAATGAGGGAAAATGACTCAGGTATGGGGGGTGAGAATGGTTGCACAACTCCAAGAATCTGCTAAATGTCACTGGATTATACATGTAGAAACTGCTGAATTAGCATATGTTCTGCTATATACTGTATGCACTAGCCACTAATGCCACCAGTGCTCCCTTAAACAAAAAGAAAATATATATTTAAAAAGGTATCCAATATTTCTAAATGTTTATACTCTATAAAGCCTGTTAGAAATAACTATACAGTTTGTAAAGTCCTTCATTAATACTTCCAATATGAAAAATTATCATCAGATTGGGGGGAGAAACAATTAAATAGTACTTACACTCTTAATTTTTGATAGTTAGGTTCCATAGACCAGGCCATTATGTAAAACTGATACTATATCAAAATTGAGTATCACATCAAGTCAGAATCATAGTCAGTGAAGTTAAAACATAACCTCAATGACTACAGCCAGCGTTACTGTTACCTTAATGGTTGTTACTGCCAGACACATGGGTTAATGAACACAATAGTTGGGTAGTAGAATTATTTCTACTGTCATAAATGTAAAATGTCGACTAATATGATAACTAAGTGAGGAGTAGATGTATATACAAAAGATGTTTAAAGCTAGGGGAGCTCTGGTGGCCTAGTGGCAAGAAGCTGTACTGCAATCCCAGAGGCGCACGGTTCAAATCCACCAGATGCTCTGCCGGGGAAGGAGGGACAATCCCCTCCTGTACCAGTCAGATCTGATTTGACGGTACACACAAATAAGAAAATAAATAAAAAAATTAAAAAAAAAAAAAAGATGTTTAAAGCTGCTAGTTCAAGGCATGAAACATAAGAAGGATTAAGAGTTTTGCTAGGAGGCTTTCTACTTAGATGTTAACTGTGTTTATCTCAAAACAGATTCTAAAATTCTCACTTGACATTATCACACCACCAGATATTGTCAATGACTTTACAATAATGTGTAATAATGATGATTATAAAACGTACGGGAAACTTGGTGGGGCAAAAGATGACTTGATGGCTCCAGCATAGATGGCCAAGATAGATACAATGACACAGGCCAGGAAAAGGGAGGCAAACTTGTTCACATAGCGTACACCGATGAACACAACCAATACCATAAGGACCAAGAAGGCTGTGCCATAGACACGCATGTTATTTAGCATGTCTGTGGATTCCTTGAGTGCATCATCACTATGGAAGATGGCAGCCCGGGGGACAATATATACCTGTTAGAAAAAAGAAACAGAAAATGAGGCATTTTTCAAAGTAATAAAGTAAAGGATTACTGTTGCCTGAAAAAAGCAAGCTGAGACAGAAATAACTGTAGGCTTTAACCTAATTCCTATGTGGGAAGATCTGGAACGCCTTCAGGAAAGTGATAATGGATTTCTTTTTCTTTTATGCCATGCTGTTATGAATACCAACACTTCCAAAAAGGAAAAAAAGGAATGTATTAATAATTCAATTCCAAGGGTTGAATTAAATAAACTGCAATGAATATCTGTTCTTCTGCTACCATTAGCTGTGACAGTAAAAAAATCCATCCCAGTTAATAAATAAATATTCATTACATTGAAAAAAGAATACAAAAGAAAACAAATCCCACCTTACTTTACTTTGTGCCACTGTACAAGCCTGTCTTGTAGTCTTTAACTTGTTGGTTGAGCACCAGCACGTTGGAGGCTGGGCTTCAGAGATGGGGCAGGCAATCTCAAACTTTGTTCCTTATACCCACAACATTGACCACAGGAGATCAGTTACGGTTTAATAGTAAATCACACAATTGATTCTGACAGCTGGTCTCAGACACTTTGATAACAAAGAACAAATAAAAGCCAAATCTCTACCTCTTCTACTTTCAAACATGGATCAAAATGAACTCATTACTCACCAGAAAAATTTCAATGGCACCAAGAATATACATGGCTGCTGCAAATGTGGTACCAAGATAAAAGCAGAGGCCAACAGCTCCTCCGAACTCTGGGCCCAGTGCCCTGGAAATCATGAAGTAGGAGCCCCCAGCTAAGATATAAAGCAGAAAAATGAACTTGACAATAAGAACACATCAGTAAGAGAAATATAAGCCAATCAAAATAAGAATAAAAATATGCATGATGGCTAAACATTTTAAGTTTTTAAAGCACTGACTATATTTTTTAAAGTGGATCTGCAAGGGAGAAGCAAAAAATGATGACTTTTTTGCAGGACATAATGTTCAGCTAATGCTTCACAAGTTGTCAGTACTACTCAGAAAAAGAAAAAAAAAGACATTTACTATATATAAAACGCAATAAAAAGTGCCAGTAAAAGTCCAAGAAATATGCCTTGAAATGAAACCATTTCAGCTTAGAAAAGGAAAGATTTTTTAAAAAAACGATCCTATAGTCAAATAGTATGGATTCATTACTCTTACAGTACAGAAGAAGAGACTACATAGAAGTCTATTCCTTGAAAGTTTGCACCTCTGGCTTTATAGCATAAATATGCATCACTGATGATTCTAACATCCAACCTTAGGCTACTGACCTGGTACCACTCCATTAGTGGCAATGGCACTCATGGAGATAGCAGTCAATATTGTCTGTAAAGAAAAGAAAAAGAGAAGATTGACTGTTACTGTACAAGGTGTACAGTATACAATAGTATCAGTACTGTTATCTCATCTGGGAATCTCAGAGTACTTATCAAGTATTTAACTTGATCTGTTTTTATAGAAACAAACAAATGTCTTGGATACAGTGCAGACACAATGGGCAAAGATGACTAAAGCTTCAGCTCACATTGTTGAGTATGTGCTAGGAGAAGCTACTGCTTGGAGATGTACATCATGATTAGAAAGGTCAGTAAAAGAAAGGACCCTCCATGAGATGGACGGACACAGTGACTGCAGCAACGGGCTCAAGTGTGTCAGAGAGGATGAGGATGGCACAGGATGGGGCAGGGTTCAGATTTGTTGTTCATAAGGTCACTATGAGTTGTGCTTGACTCGAAGGCACCTGACAATACCACTTATATAGAGTTAACAACCTGTCTTAACTAATGGCAGAGAATATTTTGGTCAAATGCCTCTACCTCTTAAATCAATAGGTGGAGTACTATAAGAATCACTGATCTCACTCTGGACCTTCTAGAAAGAGGAAATAAAGCAAAATACACTCAAAGGAAATAGCTAGACAAACAACCCCCAAAATAAGTTGGAACCTGAGTAAGAAAGAACAATATTTAGTAAGAAAGGAAACCACTGAAGACTTTTGAGTACATAAGAAGAGTATTTTAAAAACATCACAGATTAGCAAAGTACAGGATGTACCACAGATAGGGAGCAGCTGGAGAGAGACTCAGTGAGAGGTAAGAATTACAAGACCAAGTTTGAATTGAAAGGATTTCTTAGCAACATTTGATTGATCTTGGTGACCGAGTAGATATAAGAGTCAATAAGGGAAGCAAAGACGGCCTGGAAAACTGCAAGGAAAAAAGTGGTACCATTAAAGTTATTAAAGTATATAAACTACATCTACTTAATCTGCTTTTTTTAATTGTCGCTATGTGCCATCAAGTTGCCTGTGACCCATAGTGACCCTATGCACATCAGCTGTGAAGTCTGTCCTGTCCTTAGCAGGTCTCACTGACTCTCGTCTTTGCCCCAGTTACTGTATCAATCCATCTCACAGGGGTCTTTCTCCTCCTCCACTGTCCTTCCACCCTTCTGAGCATGATGTCCTTCTTCAAGGACTTGTCTCTCCTGGCCACATGCCCTAATTATGTGAGATGGAGCTTCAAAATCCTAGCCTCCAAGGAGAAACCTGGTTTCACTCTCTCCAAGACAGACCTATTTGTTTTCTTGGAGGTCTATGGTATGTTCAATACTCTTCTCTAGTACCACAACTCAAAGGCATCGATCCTTCGTCCAGCTCTCTGATGCATAGCAAGTCACTGCAAAGACTATGGCCTGGACCAGGAACATCTTAGTCTGCAGACTGAAATCCTTGCTTTTCAGCACTCTGGAGGGGTCCGGGACAGCAGATTTTTCCAGTGCAATTCGTCTTTTGATTTCCTGACTGCTGGTGCTTAGATTGTTGATTGTGGAGCCGAGCAAGCTGTAATTGTTAACCACCTCAATCTCTACTGTGTCTATCATAGTGCTGCAAAATGGCCCATTGAACTATTTTTAGTACTCAGGTGAATACAACACATGGAGAGGAAATAATGATGATAATAATAAAAGAGGTCAGTAGAGAGTAGAAATTTTGAAACTAATATTGATAGATGTAGCCAGGATGTATTGGTACATTTACATTAAAGTAAGATCAGTATGTTCTCAGTATACTAGAGAGAGGAACTGGAAAGAAAACCTAAATTTGTAGAAAGGGTAACAGAAGATACTTCAAAATACTCAACATTGTAAAAAAAAGTCATAAGATAGTTTTGTTTCTCTGCACCATACTAGGGCAGTGCTTCAAACTCTCTACCTCATTTCTTACCACAACTTTCATTATATCAAAAACTAAAAGAGGATTCAAAAATTCTCCAAAGGGAATGACTATTTTCTACTTCCCAGAGAAAGCTTCTTTTGCAATTTATGCTAAATCATATCATAAACAAGCAGTAACTAACAGACACAATAACCGACAATCCGTTAGACCTGATAACAGTATAGCAAATCATGTTGTGATCCTCATCCTTCCCTAGGATTTTTTGTTAGACTTCGGAAAAAGTCAACCCTCTAGTTGGGATTGCTCTTAAGTGTTTCCAATGTTTTAGATCCTCTCCAGGAGCCAATGCAAGACTTACACAGCAGCAGCAGATAAGGACAATCACAAAGGCCTGAAGAACTCCAGCTGTGCCCACCACCCACGTAAGGCGTAGAAACAGGATCACTCCAAAAATATTTTGAAGACATGGGAGGTAGACACCCATGAAGGTACCCATTTGGGGGCTCTGAAAAGACAAATGTTTATAGAAAAAAAATTTATTTTTCTAGAAGAGATGCTTTCTTTTATATCTTTAGGTACATAAATGCTTTCTTCTTAAGTACATATTTACCTCAAAGCAGAGACATAATTTAAGTAATATCTTAAAACGAAATTTCTTTCTTAAAAATTTTTCTTAGAGCTCTATACTTCTAATTATATAAGGAAATTTAGTAACAAGTGTGCCTTCAACATTTTTGGTTTCTCAAAACTTTATTTTCAAATATATCATTAATTTGAAAAATAATGGTTTAATGGAATCCAAAGTTTGGCATAAATTCTTAGTGTTGTTGTTATGTGCCAATAAGTCAACTACAATTCACAGTTATGAACTATAGCTCTGAACCTTGCCCTATTTTGAGCCAATCTCATTGTCTTTGGCACACCTGCCCCCATTGTCAATCCATCTAATCGAACATCTTCCTCTCCTGCACCTACCCTCCACTCTTCCAAGTATGATGTCCTTCTCCAAGGACTGGTTCTCTCCCGGCAATATGCTCAAAATATTAAGAGAAATTGATAAAATGAGGTTTTGAGAATTGATTTACCCCTTTTCTAAGAGTTAAAAGACCAGAAAGCTAAACCGTATTGTTCTATACTTGTTAGGGGCAAAAAAAAGGTATTTGATCTTTTTAAAAAAAAAAAAATCCAACAACTTGGCAACAGACAGATGGTATCAGCTAGTGAGGCAGATGGACGTGGACTCTAAGTGCTATTCTCTCTCCCTGGATGCTCTTCTCCCAGTTTGTACGTGGCTCACTCCCTCACATTATTTATTTATTTGCTTCACCTTGTCATAAAGGCATTTACTGTTAGTCTATCTAAAGCTCTTTTACCATTTAATGTGTTGCTAGCCAGTCCTAATCTGTTCTTTAAGCATTAATCAACACTTGACATGCTCTATATTGTCTAAGAACTGTCTCCTTATCCTAGAATTTGAGGTATACGAATGCAGGAGTTTATATGCTGTTTCTGTTAGGACTTCAGTGCCTGGCATATATTATGTATTCAATACAAAGTTATCGAATATAGAAAGATGCCCTGAATATTTCTCCATTTCTTATATCCAGTGCTCTTTTTAGTTATCTTTGTTACCCCCAAGAAATCACCTTGGTAGGTTTCTTTCTCCCTTCAGTAATGTTCTCTGCCTCTTCATGTTCCTTTGCTCCTTGTGTCAAATTTGTGTAATTGGCCATACGGTTGAGAAGAGATGATACCTTTGGCCTAGTATCCATTTCTTCCTAAAAAGTTAGAAATATGGAAGACATGAGTGAGGAAGAATGCTGAATATATGTATCAAAATAACCTCTCTACAGAAAAATTACAAAGTGAAAGAAATACTTCACAGCTAGTGATATTTTAAGAAAATTCATCATTAAGACTTTACTCTCCCTCTCCCAGAAAAAAAAAAAAACCAACTATACTCCAGTACAATATGACTCCTATAAAAATTTCAAATTGAAAGTTCCATTCTTCTTCCTAGTAACTATGCATTTTTATCTGCAGTTGGTTGACTCAAACTCATAGTAACAACCCTTTAGGACAGAGTAGAACTGCTTCACAAGGGTTCCAAGGTTATAAATCTTTACACACAAGAAGACATCCATCCACATCTCTTTCTGGAGTAGACTGGTGGGTTCAAAGCAGCAGCCCTGTGTTTAGCAGGTAAATGCATAACCACACCATCACTGTTGTTGTGAGGTACTGTCAAGATAACTACAACTCATAGTGAACTTCTGAATAACAGATCTGAACCTTGTCTTCTCCTGTGCCATCATCAAGATCTCCATCATGCTTAAACCCACTGTTGTTTTCAGTGTGGCAATCCATCTCTCACGCAGGGTCTTCCACTTTCAAAGACCTTACAGCTTTCTCAGCATGTCTTTTTCCACAGATTGGCTCTGCCTGACAGTATGTCCAAAGTCTGTGAGATGACATTTTACCATGCCCGCCATGAAGGAGTTACACTGTTTGACTGCACTTCCTCCATGACAGATTTGTTTGTTTGGCAGTCTGTGAGATATTCAGTACTCTTCGTCAACACAACAATTCAAAGGTGCCAATTCTTTATAGGTCTTCCTTATTTATTGTCCAACTTACAGATACATAAGAAACAACTAAAAATACTAACATATATCAGGTGCACTTGATGTAGCCTTGAAATTACTATCCCTGTTCTTTATCAATTTAAAGGGGTCCTTGAGTGTGTTTTTCCCAATACAACATGTCTTTCAATTTCTTGAAATTTCTGCTGCTACCATGAGTTTTGACTGAGGATCCAGGTAAAATGAAACTGCTGACATCTTCAATCTTTTCTACATCATGATGTTACCTACTTGTTCAATGGTTAAGGTTTTTGCTTTCTTGATGGAGAGATGTAATCTACATCAAAAGCTGTCATCTTTGCTCTTCTTTACTAAGTGCTTCATATCTTCTTCACTTTCTTTAAGACTGTGTTATATGCATAATGTAAGTTGTTGATTAAGTCTTCCTCCAATCCAGCTTCTTCCTTCAATCCTGCTTCTTAATTTGTCTTAGTCTGTTGGCTCCAGTGACACGTGTCCACCAGGGGTGACCCTGCTGTTGTTTGAAATATTAGTGGTATAGTTTCCAGCATTCTCAGTAACAGGCAAGTCACCATAGTATGGCAAACTAGCAGCTGAGTGGGGGCTGTGCTATTGTTGTTTGTTGTTATTACTGTTGAGTCTGAACTGACTCATAGCTGACCTTCTCGTAGGTTTTCAGAGGCAGTAAATCACAGGGAAGGAGACTATCTTTTTCTCAGAGCAGATCAGCTGGTGGATTCAAACTCTGTGCTTTTGGGTTGGCAATGAAAACTCCGCTGCACTACTGGAGCTCATAAAATCATTTCAGTTCCTGTGCAAGGCTGTAACCTAGCAAAGAACACTGGTAATGTTATACTTAACCACAGTATTCCCTTTCTTCAAGCTACTAACATTCCACTAGCTCTTATGGCTATCTGTATCAACAAGTATGGACATGTTTAAGAAAAATATGCATGATTAAATTAATTATTTTTTTTAATGAAGGAGAAGAAATATAATTTTTTTAAAGGAATATAATTTTATAGATAACATTAAGAGGGAGAAACATTATTTTCCAAAACCACACCACACTACTACTAGAATAAACCAGGCTTTCAATAAACTGGCCATTTATTTCATCAGAGTCCCTGCTGATTCAGTTAGATAAGATATACAAGTCTCCTTAATCTAGCAACCTACTTCATGCAATGATTTTTTGTTTAATAATTTCAGCTTAAATGAGTCTCTTCAATCATAGGGTTAACATATTACTTTTTACAAGAAAAGTAATTCCAATGTAAACATCTAATTGCTAGCTGAATTATACTATAAAACGCTCCATATACCTGAGAGATTAGCATTCTTCTTTATATCATAAATTTTGATATACTGTACTTATTGCAATTAGATAAAATACACTATGACAAGTCTTAATAAAAAAATTTATTTTAAAAGTTATTATATGCTCTAGCATGAACTACTTTAAAACTGAATATAGTAGAAAATGGCTATCCTGACACCTGCATCTGAATTCACTATGCCTAGTTTTCTCCCAAATATTACCTCAAACAATGCCAAGTTTTTATCAAAATATTCATCTCCTTCTTCATAATTGGAATTATTGAGATAAGCGTTTCGAGCTTTTTTACGTCCATCATCTAGGAAATAAAAAAGAAATCATGTTATTTTATTACTGGTACTGAGGAAGCATTAGCACCAAGTAACTGCATGTTGACAGTTAAACAGAAATTATTGCTAAATTAAAGTTTTACTCTGAAAGTGGTAGAATTTGATCAGAATGTAGCTCCCTCTCCAGCAGTTAGAAAACAAACATCTAAGAAGCAAACACAAGCCATAACTTTTCTTAAAAATGCAAAGATTTGTGTAGACACTATTCTTTTAAGACTCTAGTCTTATAGAGATCCTACTATACAGCCACCCAAATCTAGGAAGAAAAAAATTAGAATATTTATTTAATACACACAATTCTGGGTGCCCTTATATATTCCTGTTATTGATAATGACAGTAAAAACTCTCTGCCTCTGGAGCTGTCACTGCACTGAATATGATATTCTTACAAACTGATCACATTTTTAAAAAAGAAGAACTCCACAAGTAGGACTAGACTCCAATAGTCAACCGTGTTTGTATGATTTTTTGGTTTGAGCACTTCCTTAGGATGTAAAGTGACATTAATTACAATTATCTGGCACCAGACAGAGGATGAAAGAGTGAGGGGGAAAAAATGTAAATATCATTAAGAATGAAATTTTCTGCAAATAGAGATACCATTTGACCCAGCAATCCCATTACTGGGAATATACCCCAGAGAGACCATGTCTACCATCCAAACAGATATATGCACACCCATGTTTATCGCAGCACACCCATGTTTATCGCAGCTTTGTTTACAACAGCAAAGAGTTGGAAACAACCTAAGGGCCCATCAACAAACAAATGGCTAGAGAAGCTGTGGTATATTCACACAATGGAATACTATCCTGCATTGAAAACCAAGGAACTAAAAAAAAAAAAAAAAAAGAAAACCAAGGAACTCATGCAGTATTATTCAAAATGGGTGACCCTTGAGGACATTATGCTGAGTGAAATATCTCAGTCACAAAAGGACAAATACTGCATG